CCGCGCGTCTCAGCCCTGCCCACTGGCCGCAGCCCTTACGCGCGTCTCAGCCCTGCCCACTGGCCGCAGCCCTTACGTCCCGCATGCATCTTGTCCACGGACCCGGTGGCCATGCCCCTCCCCTTGCCACGGCCAGGGAAGGCCCACACGCCCACGCCCTCCCACCCAGGCCCCTGCCTACGACGTGCCCCCGTTGTGGCCCCTCCACCCCTGCACACTGAGGCAGGCTTCTGTGCTCCTCCGGACACCCCTCCCCAGGGCACACCCCAAGCCCCATGGTGGCCCCGCCCCCGCCGGAGCCACGCCCCTTCCCTCGCGGTGGGGGTGGGGTAACGGGATCCTGGGCGCCTTGCAGGAGCAGGGGCGCCGATCCCCTGAGAGATACAACCCCCACCCTCCCCACTTTGAAGCTAATGGTAAGACTGACGTATCATCAGATCCTGATCTTTACCCGCGCGAGCAGAGAGGAAAGTGTCCTGGTTAAGGGAGGGCGGGACACCTGACACTAAGCTTCCGAATGCTCCTGGGTGAGGAAATGATAGTTTCAGGTTTTCCGGTGTTCATAAGATGAAAATCAAGCAGGTATTTGTTCATTTGTGAGAAGTGTCTTTTTTGTTGACTTTTAGTCCCAAGGGACATTCTAATTCCCTACAAAGGTGGTATTTTGAACGAAGTTGTCATAAGGGATTACACACAGATCTCCTCAACGTCAACTGTTGCCATGGTCATGAAGCATCACCCCATCAGTTCTCCCACACTTACTCACCGGGCTAGTCCTACAAGCACATCTGAGTGGATCCCTCCTCTTAAAAACCTTGACGGGACTCTCACTGGCCGCGAGGTAAACCGCAAACTCCTCAGTGTACAGATTCATAAGAACCCTTCATCATCTGCTCCCAGCCTGCCTCCCCAGCTTCCCACAAACCCCACGAGTGGCCACCTTCAGACAAATGCACAAACGTTCTGCTCTGTGCCTCCACACAGGGTCCTCCCTGGGCTTCCTGCTCTCCCGTTCCAGTCTGCGGTCCAAGACCCAGTTTGAAAATCACCTCCTCCACAAACTCAACCGTGCACCAAAAAACAACGCCGTCTCTGCCTTTGCTGTGTCCCTTTAACACTTCAGACTTTTTAGAATAAAAGATAGGTAGTAAGGTCATTACTTGTTTGTAAGTTTCATACATGATACTTCTCAGGGACACTCACAACCACCCTCCCCACCCCGCCCCCCAGCTGAAATGGTGTTGACCACATTGCAGATGCTCAATGAATATTTGTTGATGTTCAAATTCAGTTAATTTATGTCAAGTGCCTAGTAAGTGCCAGACATCGCATCAGATACTTAATAATGGAAGCTCAGTGTTAAGTCTGCTGGCCTTGAAGTGAATCCCAAAAGTAGCAGCAGCTTTAGGATCTGATAAACATGCCAGGCTTCACCTTAGCAATGCCGATGCGAAGAAGCCTAACTGTGTTTTCTGCTTTGAGTTTGTATCTCTGGACTTTTCTCCCACATGGAACAGTATTTTCCGTATTATGAACAGCCCTGTACCTTTACTAAAGAGATGAAAATTAGAGTGGCTGGAAAGAAGGAGAAAGGAGGCAACCCAAGACGTAGCCAGCCATGTCTCATTTCCAAGACTGTCACTTTCGGAGACAAGGCTGTCCGTTCCTCTGGGTCCTGGCAGCAGTGCACTGCCTGAGGCTAAATAGCAGGGGTCTGCTGTGCGGGGGTCATCCTGCCCTGGGCTGACTTCCCTTAGCCCGGATGGCTTTGCCTTGGTGTTTTAGATGCAAACTGGAAATTTTCATGGCCTTTTAATTCTGTTCCTCGCTGACATGTGCTCCCTTGTCCCCCTCAAATGATGATATGTACTATTATTTACTTATCCTTACTAGAGTTAGCATTTACTAGATGCCCATTGTGTGACAGCACCGTTTAGATAAACACACACAAATCTATTTAATCTCACAGGAATCACGTCGTTAGCACCCGACTAGAGGTCAAGAAATAAAATACTAAGGGAGATTTGCCAGAAGAGCTTGTCCCCAGCTCTCTTGGAGGAGGCGGAGATGAGCGGTCCAGTGCCCAGAGGCACACGCCCTCCCTTGAGGTTACCGTGAGCTCCTGCAGAGCTCGGTCTCTTCCTCAGATCACACGTCACCTCGCTTCTCATAAGCTTCACAAACACAGCTGTTATTCAGAGAAGGTGCTTACCAATGAAATCTTAGAAAATGTTTAAGACAATCTCAGCTCTTTTGAGATGTATTAGACGTGCTACCCCAACTCCTGTGTGACTAAGAATTCTTTAACTCTTATCATTAATTACTCTTAGGCCTTTTGGAACCATGAGCTGCTAGAATTTTCCATCAAAAGTGTGTAATTTAACACCAGTATTACAAACAGCTATTGGGCACCATTTGCGATGGTGAAGCATGAGCTAC